TTTGGTAGGGCTTATATTTTCAAATCAAGACCCCCAAATTTCACGATGATCTGATTTCACGATAATCCGCGACAATAAATGTTCTTTATACTCACAGACTAAATTATGCGAACGAAATGTAAATAAGTAATTATGTTCTTGATTTGTGAAATAATTTTGTTGTTTTTATTTCTAGAACTAATAAATGTCCTTATACTCACTTACTGAATGAATTGGTTAAAACATAATGGTAAATAGGTATTTATGTCTTGATTTGCAAACTTGCTTTGCTTTTTTATTTTTATTCATTAATAAATGTTCTTTATACTCACCGACTAAATTAATATGATTAAAATGAAATTAATAGTAAATATTTGTGAATTTGAATAACTTATTTTAAATACTTTGATTAACAAGATGTCCCGTCTTTAGGGTAGTTTCAATAATAATAACAAAGAACCCAGTGATATTTTTGTGGTTATCACATCACATGATAAGTGTTCGGCCTAAGTTAAGGTTGGGTCGTTAGTGGTAAACTTACCGTGGTAAGTTACCGGTAAATTACGGTAAATTACCGTAAGTTACTGTGGTAGGATACCAAATACACATTTGAAAGTCCGTACATTATCAGAAAATTTCGTAATAGTAGGCAATTAACGGACATGAAGCACGGATACTTTCGGAATAAAGCATAGATTACTTTCACGGTAACTTACAGTAACTTACCAGTAACTTACCATTTTGGTAACTTACAATAAATTACCGTAATTTTACAACCCTGGTGATAGGATAGTTTAGTCTAATTTTTTAGTGCTAGTAAAAAATGACGTCATTGCATAATTTCAATGTGATATGATGATTACTGGGTTCCATGTTCTTGATAGTAATAGTAATAGTAATAGTAATAGAGGTTGGAACCGGTTTTAAAAATCCGAGTTTATCACAAAAAATTCGTATTTGTCACACCAAAATTCGAGTTTATCGCATCAATTATTAATGTTTGATGTGATAAACTCGAATTTTGGTATATGTTTACGTGATAAACTCGAAATTTTAAAACCGGTTCCAACCTCTAGTTCTTGAGGTGTCCCTGTCTTTATACAGTCAACTCTCTCTATAATCACGCTCCCAGGATACAAAAAAGTGTAATAGTAGAGAAATGTGACATTATAGAGGCCAAATTAATATTTTTTAGTAATAGTTTATTTTTATAAAAAAATAGGCTTATAAAGAAAATGTGCTTAAATAGGAGTTGACTATAGAGAGGTTTGATTGTACTTGTTAATAAAATTTTTTATACTCACAATCTAGAATAAAATTAAATAGCAACTATTCATAAACTTGTATAATTTATTTTAGATACTTGATTAATAATTTTTTTTTATACTCACGCTCTAGAATAAAATCAAATAGTAAATGCTTATAAACTTGAAATTGCTTATTTTAATAAATAATATTTATACTCACATTCTAAATAAAATTCGTTAGTAAATTTTTATAAGTTTGAATAGATTATTTAAATACTTGTTATTTATACTCACGGGCTAAATCAACATGAATAAAATAATTATATTATTTAATGAAATATTATAAGCTATTGCCAATAAAATGCTTTTTATACTTGATAATAATCATACTTACTCTCTAAATAATTAAATAGTTTTAAGAATCTCTATTATCAAAAATACATATATTAACAAATAACTTACTTTTTAATCCATTCAGAGTACTTGTCTTTATTCTCTCCTATACCAATACCATAATAGTAACATATGGCAGTTTTAAAAATACCCATAGAATTACCCATATTAGCTGAATTTAGATAATAATTAAATGCTTTATATTCGTCTACACCATCTCCAATTCCTAAATAATAACAATGACCAACTTGATACATTCCATTAGGACAATTCTTCTTTGCTGATTCTTGATAATTAAACAATGCCAATTTCTCATCCTTTTCAACTTCAATCCCGTATTCATAACGATAACCTTGCCAATATATATCAGCAGCTGTCATCGCATCTGAAATATCTATTCCACCTGATTGCATACTTAAAATATTTGAAATCGTCTGAGTACTAATGTCTTTACACGTATATATATTGTGCTCGCGATTTATTGGATCTGATATCTCCGTCTTATTATTATTCATAAATGCTTTCTTTTTTTTACGCTCCTCTTCGGTTAAACATTCAGGGTCTAACTCAAAAATATGATACCAGTTAAACAAATTTTGGCAAACCTCTCCAGCACTTGGTCGTTTTGTTGGATCTTCATCCATACACTGTTTTGCTAATTTAATATAGAATTCAGGTATTCCTTCACCAAATCCTGGGCGTAAACCTTGACATATCTTTGCTGCCAATTCATTATCATTATCGTAATCTTTTCTTTCATAATAAGGTGGAATCCCGGTAGAAACTTCAGTTAATATAATACCAAAGCTATAAATGTCTGCGGCCGTTGTATATTCATCGCCTAATAAAATCTCAGGAGCAATATAGGAAAGAACTCCAAAAATCTCACCTCCAGATGTTTTATATTCAATTTTATTAGTCAGCCCGAAGTCAGAGATATATAGTTTTATAGTTCCATTGGTATTTACTAAAAGTATATTTCCACTATGTAAATTTTGATGCACATATCCCATATTATGGATTCTACTTAAATTGTATGCAGCAGAAAAAAGAAGTTTTAACTTGTTCGCCCAAGTAAGTTCCCTATTTTTTTCTAGATATTGCCAAAGATTTCCTCCATCTGCGTATTGGCATACCATGAAATATTCACCTTTTTTTGGATCTGGAGAACGGGTTATTCCGAATATTTCAAAAAAGTCTTTTTGATTTCCAAATTCTGCGAAAGTTTTAAACTAAATAATAATAATAATAATTAGACATAATAAAATAAAATAAAAAAAGATAAATGAATAATAATATATTTCAACATTACCTCTTTAGAAATATCTTCATTACCCTTTTTAATACTGGGTTTAAGAACAACTGTGCATTTTTCACGTTCTAATTTATTATTTTCTTTCGAAAGTATTCGCTTTCCATCTAACCAAGTTGCAGAATAAACAGTACCAAAGCCACCTTTGCCAACTTCTTGAATATTTTCTAATTTATCGAAAGGAATCCATTCTATCACTTTGTCAATATGTTTTGCATTCAGTTGCAATTCTTTTATAAAACAATCGAGTTCTTTATTGTTTTCACATGTGCACCTTTTATCTATTTTCAACCTTTCATATATACCGGTATGTTCAATTTCTATATTTTGATAATAAATATTAGTTAAAATTTCAAGAACTTTGTTCATTTCTGGACGTTTAGCAGGCTCATTATCCCAACATTGCTTGTAAAGTTCAATATATTCAGGTGGTGTGCCTTTCTTCATAGGTTCCTCTCTATTTCCTTTGAGGATATGATTGGCAAGTGATTCTCTTGTTGAGAAGGATTTGAATGGTGGCTTTCCGCTTGAGATTTCCCAGAAAACAACACCCAAGCTATAGATGTCAGATTTTTGAGTAAGATTATATCGAACAACATCCAAAATAGGTTCTTGATTAATATTATTTTCGGATTTTAAGCATTGAGGTTCAATATATGCTATTGAATCTAAATCTAATAAACTCTCATTAATTGATGATGTAGCTTCCGTCATTTTGGATAAACATAAGCCTGCGATCTTGATTTTTCCTTCATGAACCAGTATATTCTTGGAATTCTAAAATATAATTAGAGTTATTAAAAAAACAAAAAAATTTATATAAATATAAATAAGCATAGACGTGCATACAATATCTTGGTGAATGATATTATTTTCATGTAAAAACTTTAGGCCATTGGATATTTCGATTGCAATACGTGATTTATCTATCCATCTTAATCTTGAAAATTTTTCATTCAAATATTTGCGTAAATTTCCATCACTAGCAAATAGTCGAACTATATTGTAACACCATTCGTGCTCTATTAATTTTGTGTAATATTATTAGTATTAAAGAATACAAATGTGCCTTTATTGATAAAGGCTAATCAACCGGAAAAGTTTTAAATACATTCCTTGAGTAGTTACTTTAGTAAGCCCATAAAAATTGATAATATTTTCATGATCAATTTTTTGTAGTTTCTGAATCTGTCGATATAATAAGTTTAGATAAATTGATAATTCTATGTTTAATGTTTGGCATTATAGACGTAAAGTTTTAATACTTCATTAATAAACTCTTGAGAAGCCTTATTATTCTGGATAGTAATTTTGGCCTTATCATCTTGAATAGTATCAATTTTGGTGCTATCATTCTGGATAATATCAATTTTTACGCTTTTATGAGTAACTTCGATATTTCTTTTTCTCCATTTGGATTTATACATCGTCATCCCAAATCTACTTTTTCCGATTTCCCTAAAGTCATAAAATTCATCATAATCATAAAGACTAATTTTTAGGTCGGAAAATTTATTTTTAAATTCCATTTCAATCTGTTCTAAATATGTTTCCATAGTAGTGGTAGAATATTTTTTTTTTAAAAAAAAAAGGTATGGTGCAGGAAATTTAAAACATCAATATTCAATATATACGTAGATGATGCATAAACTAGTAGCACATCGGACATAAATTTCTTAAATTATCGATCTTAATAAGCGAAGGGAATCTCTTTACTTATTAAGATCGATAATTTAAAAATCTCAATATTCTATGTAGAGATAATGCATAAACTAGTAGCACATCGAAAATAAATTTCCTAGATTATCGATCTCAATAAGCAAAGAACAATATGTACGCAATAGCATGTATTGAATGACAAATTTAGTTTATCTTCAATGAGTTAGTTAACCTTTATCCTATATAAAGTAATTGAAGTTTTTAGGTTTCCTGCACCGTACGTTAAACACATGTGACATATCACTAATTAGTCAAAACGACGTAGTAATTGCCGGACATCAAGAATATCGTTTTTGATCTATCTACATACCGGGAGCCCTAATTCCCCAGTTGTGATTGGACGCATGAAATCTCATCTTTAATTGGATAAACTAGATCACGCCACCGTAGCACAGACGCAAAATCAAAACCATTTATTCAATAAAAAAAAAATTAAATTATTTTTATTGAGAAATATTTCTGATTTTGTTGGTGATCCAAAATAAAAATCCGAAATTCCGAGACGAATATTCGATATTCTGATTGGTGAGATATGAATATAATTTTGTCCCAAAACGTCACAATTACGGTTACAATTACTATTGCGGAAAACTTATATCGATACGTATAATCAAATTGCCATAAATAAGCTATGATGCCGTACTATAATTATGTATCAACACTTTTAAACTTCATTATGATGAATTCATTAAAAAATAATGGTGTTCAAGAACAACTTTCTTGATTCTACTTAAAATTCCTACATGCACTTTTAAATAGCTGTCTATTGACAATTGCAAATATAATTTATAGTATGTTCTTTAAAATCAGACAACAGACTCTAAAGTTTATAATTTATCAAAACTAACCTCTAAACAATTCTGACTAGTGACAAATGCTACCTGCTACGAAATTAAAATGCCATTAGCAAGATTTGTTTGATAAATTATAAATTTTAAAGCCTGCAGCCTGGTTTTTTTTCAGCTACACCCATGTTATTCACTAGCTAGAAAAAAAAAATTAAATTATAGTAGTTGTAACATAAAAATTAAGATATATATTATTATGTTTTGCATCAATCACAATTCTTTAATTTTCATCAATTGAAAATAATTTAGGTCAAGTTTTACATTCACTAAAGAAAAACTTTATTAATATTATGTTCTAAATTTATAAAGAAAAAATAAAATCTACTAAAATTTTCATATTGTTTTTATATTCACAGGCAGAAACTCCTATGCCTATTAAAATTATTTTAATTTTATATTGTTTTTAAGTCACAAAAAAAAAGAACTAATTTGTTTTCTTTGTTGTTTAAATGATTTTACTGATACTTATTTTTTTATTTTTATAATGTTAGATCTTTATTTAATTTTTATCAGAATTGATATTGAAGTTTGAATAATAAACTTATTATATAAAATAATAGAGGTTTACCAATTGCAAAGTGACTTCAAATTTGCAAATGATGTATCTAATTCAGAGTACATCCATTTATTTGTTGGTTATGTTAAAGCATAATCTAGATATATGTAATTATCAAATTACATGTGAAAAATTAAAATTTGATCAGTAATAATTGAATTATTAATGTGATATGTTTAGTCTGCATGCGTGCATAACCAGTAAAATTAAATGATCAGATATAAACAAAACATGTACTATAAGTATAAAAAGAGTTATAGTAGCTTGTAAAATTTATAACTCTTATTTTCTTTTTCTTTCATTATTATAAAAATACCCAGGGAAATCTGAGATTTTGCAAACAAACAAAATACTGAAGAAAATAGTTCTGAAAATAATCCTGAAAATAGTCCTAAAGATAGTTTCAATAAAGTGACACATTTTATTATATTTTTATAGATAAGATTCATATACAAAACAGTTGGTGTCATTAGATAATATCAAAATAATTCAATGATTATTCATTCTGCAAAAAGCCAAAAAAATTCTTTGGTGAAACTCAAATTAGGTAATATCAACTTTCAATTTTTTGATAATAATGTTTTTTGATGCTTTGGCTTGGTGAATTTATTTAAAATTTTTCAAAATTATCAATTGTAAAAGAATAAGTGATACATGCTTAAGGCATGTTTTCAAAATTACAAAAATTCAAATTTAATAAAATATATTTACATTTGTTGACTTGTATAATATTAAAAACTTTTTCTAATTGTTTCCAAAAAGTTTCTCTTTTTTTACCATTTTTTTTCTTCTTGATCAAAATTTTAGGTTGATAACCTAAAGGAAAAAGTAGTTAATCAAAAAGTTTTTGATGAACTTTTTTTACCTCTTCTGGTTTTCCTAATTACCCACTAATTTTAAAAAACATATTACTAAATTGAAAACAGCAGTAAATCTAAGAGTAACATTAGCCTTTTTTTTCTTGAAAAAATATTGACACTATTCAATTGTTTCTTCAAAAGAGATAGAAAATATTGCGGTTATGTTTTTTTCAAAGAGTCTTTTTTTTGCTTCAATTATTCACTTTCTTTTTCTCTTTTAATTCTACTACTGGATAGTTAAACTTCTGAGTTTTTTGAGAATTGTCAAACAAAGATATTACTAGAAAAGTGGTTATGTTAGAAAAAATTTGCTAATGCTTGAAGTTGTAAATATAAACTAATTTTTTTTCTTAGACAATTTTTTCTCTTAATATCTTGCTACTAGCACTTTTAAAAAAAGAAGGGGTAATGTAAATTAATTTGCCGTTAGCGTTTAATTGCTTAAAGAATAATAAATAAAACAGCAAATATAAATTCACCATTCTTTTTAATTGTTTTTAGGAAATAATATTTTTGTGTTGTCTATTTAGATTGTGAACTTTCATATAAGGAAGATTACTCACCACAAAATTCATTTTTTTATCATAGTTTTTTACTAATAGAGTATCTTTTAATTTTATATCATAGTTGGCTTTGAATATCTGGTTTAAGTTTTTTACAGTTTTTATAAATAGTGGTGTCTATTTTTGCTCCATAAATATAAGTTTCTAAACCTTTTTTGATTTCTTTGGAGAAAAAATCTATTTCTTAGACAGCTTTTATATATCTCTTAACTACATTCTTTAAATATATAAATAAATAATATATAATAAAGTATTCTTTTTTATGGTTTGCTACATAAAATATATATACGTAACTTTAAATTTTTTTTT